CCCTTGCCATTCCCATCCTTATATCTCTGACACGTTTAACTAGAAATTGTAGAATAAATATAATAAATGCTGTAAATTCATTATTAACACGGTCTATTAAAAATCTTAGAATAAATACTATAAATTCATCACTGTCATAAATAAATATCCTTTATTTGCTAAAACTGTCCACCTGGTTCTGTCCTTCCCCCCTTGGGTATACATCATCGGACCTGTGATTCTCGCGGCAGAGGCCAGTGTAGACAGGCAATATGAATTTCTTGCACAAGAAAGCCCTATGGTTAAAATGGCCACCAGAGCTTTCTTGCGCAAGTGAGTGTCTACACTGGCATGGATGCTCTTGAGCAAAAGCACATCTCTTGCACAAAAGCACATGCCAATGTAGACACTCTCTTCTGGAAGAGTTTTTGCAGAAGAACTCTTCTGCAAAAGAGTTTTTGCGTGAGAACGCGCCTGTGTAGACATAGCCTAGGAATGTTAAGATTCATCTGGAGCAGCTCTGTGCTTATTTGCTTTAATAAAGAGGTTTATTTAATAAGAATGGAGTCCTTGCCTGTTATTATCCAGGACATGTGTAGGGCTTCCAATGGCCCCCACAGCATCGCCCGTCATCAACTCTAGGGAATTGGCTCCGCTGACGGCGATACTATTCGATTCAGGCCACTGTCCTCCGACAGTGCCCACACAGCCTGGGCTTTACCCCTTCTGGGGACTGCGTCCTTTCTCAGTTATTCCGAGAGGGGGTGCAAGGTAAGGGGGAAAGAAGGGTGCCCGGGCCCACCCTCACTTCCGGGCCCCAGCCCAGGGCCCTAAAGGACACGGACCGACTTCGGTCCGGGTCCGGTTGATAGGGGTGTCCTCCCGAAACCTGTCCAAGTGAGGGGCCTTTTGATGGCCCTCCCCTGGGCTACTTCCTCTCCATGGTGTCCCCCATTCCCTGCTGTTGGCTTACTCGGCCCTCCGTGGGTCAGCCGCTCATCACTCAGGACGACCTTCCGGACCCCATTGCTCCACTGTGGTCTGCAAAGTCCTGCTTTCTGCAGCAAAGGGGGGCTTACCCTTGCCTGTCCTCCTTGGGGCAAAGGCTCCAATTCCCCCGCCGTTTGCCTTCCTCCACACTCTTCCCCCCGTCCCTCAGCCCGGGGCGGAGTTTAAAACTCCCGCCGCACCCGGCGCCCATCCTCCTAACATCACCAGCTGGCTCCGCTCCTCCCGCCGCGTCTGCACCGC